TTTTTTTTTTTTTTTTTTTTTTTTTTTTTTTTTTTTTTTTAATTTAGAAATTCAATTACATATTAGATTTAGGTAATTTGTTTGGTGGTTGTAATCACGTTATCAAATAAATACATTTAGAAAGACGATAAGGATAAAAGTCTGTGTGGCCTATTTTTATTGTCATCTTTGTGGCTGTGGCTTATTACTCAATTATTCCATAATCCTAAATTTTGTTTATAACCTAAGATCGTTATGGTATACATATCATAACCATTTAATGTGGAAATACTTAATTCAAACTTTATAATAAAAACATGACCTTATTCTTACATCTCACTTCTAAGGTCTTAAATAAAATAATGCACGTTGAAATAAACAAGAAATAACATAGAGTAAAAATGCCTTAGAGTACCCTATATGCTACTAAATGAAAATGCAACTAACCTATACTAACATATAATCTAATAATTGATATTATGAAACTACCCTAAGCATGTGTCATGGTCTCCTAGTTGTGATGCCACCATCAACCGCATGGGGGAGCTTTATCTTTATCTGAAAATGAGAGTAGCACATTGCTAGAATATTTTAAGAAATGCTCAATGTTCAACCACATGTAATTTCATGAATGAAACCTATCATAATAGTCTATCTTAAACGGCCAATTTGGATGTGTACTTTCCCTACACACAGTCCACACCTACGAGTATGGACCCACCAGTCAACTTGCATACCTCCTGGGTCCCTTGCTGGTTGGGCAAACATTCTCTGGTAGTTGTTGATGGCGGACACCAATAACAACCGCCACAGCTGCATTACGATAAACATAATGATCGTTCTCTTATCTTGTAGCATACACGTCCGTACTATCCTGAAGGAGAAGGGGTATCCCTCGATGCAAGAGCACACAATAATGCATGAGGTTCCAACATTTTTCTATTTTTGTTATCATATAATACAATCCCGTTAGCGTTTCCTTCATATCATATCATTTTTCATATCGTTTATTATATCTTTCATACGTATGTCAGAGTTGTATTTTATGTAGCTCGTTGTTTTACATGTCAATCATATCATATCATTCATATCACACATATGCATATCATAACGTTTTCATGCTTTCAGATATAAAAATCTACATCATGCACATATCGTATCATATTATGTATCATAACAATCACATAGCATATTTCAAGCATGTCTTCAACATATCATATCATAAACATATAAACTCATCAAATACAACATAACATTCACGTATCATAATATATACATATCATTTTATAACAGTTTGCATATACAAGCATATAACACGGCGAAGCCATATGAACACACGTCATCATACAACACAAAATTATAACTAAACGATGGTAGGGCCACTTGCTTGGTTGGCCTTAGCTGACATTTTTCCTAATTCGAGTACATTCACTCTCGTTCCTCGAAATTACTTCAATTATCGTCGGTCATCATTTTCTATTAAAATATTCATCCCGTTTCGTTAGTAATCTAAGGATTCTTAACTCAGTCGAATTTAAATCGAGAAATTTACCCTTACTGACCTTATTTGCCTTAAACAAGCTCAAATTCAACTTCAAGATTGTCAGAACTATGGAAATTAGCTATTTTTCCCTTTATTGAGTCGAAGGAGCGAGTTTTGAGTCGTAGAGTTGAGCCGAGCCATTTAAGCCGACTTAGCCGAGTAAGTATTGTACTGCAGGTGTGCCACGTGGTGCAATTAGAGGTTGACGCAGTTGTTGGTGACTTTAGGTAGAGGCGCAAGTCGTTACGCGTATGCGGGTCACAGATTGGGGCGCAGTACTGGGCTGCTGCAGGTGTGGGCTGATGCGTAGGTCGTAGCAGGTTGCGCCTTGGGTACTCGGGTGTCGATCGGGCTGCAGGTGCCAGGTTGGGGCTGAGGCAGAATGGGTTGCAAGTGATTTGTTTGGGTTGAGGTAGAATAGTGTCAGTAACGGACTGCAGCTGGGTAATGAATTTAGGTTCAACCCAAAGTCCACTGACTTCGTCTTCTATACTCGTTTCCCTCGAGTTTTTCGATTAACCCTTCTTCTTTACTTCCCGTGGAGTGTTTCCGGTTGTTTGCACCTATAACATGCATATCTATAAGGCTCTAAAATCGGAAACTCAAACCCTCTTTTCCGACGACGAATCACATTGTTAAGGCGTGAGAGCTTATCTCCTACATACGTGCAGTCGTCAGTGATTCCTTTCACAGTGTGGGCTGGTTGTTTCAACACTAGATCTATGAGATTATCGTTGTCGAAGTATTCTAAAAAAATATCTCTCTCTCTCTCTCGTTTTCTCTGTGTTTTTCCTTTCTACTTTGCAGGTGGGTTCTGTGATGGTGACAGGATTATTGTGGATTCACTAGAGTAGTGTGGGCGTCGGGTAGGGTGTGGCTGAGAGGGGTGCAAGAATTTCGGCGCCTCACCAGAATTTTCGTGCATTTTTTAGCACCAGACGTTTTTTTTTTAATATGTGGTTGTTACAAAATTCTACAACTTTTTTATTTGTTACATTTCTCTAGTTCGTTGAATTAAATGTATCTCCACTTTTATTTGCTACATTTCTCTAGTTTGTTGAATTAAATGTATCTCCACTTGATTTCATCATGCTATAGTATCTTGGACTGATTTTTTTATTATATTTTATTTTTTTTATGTAATAACCGTTAAGGTTATAATAATAATAATTAAATAATTGTGTAGGAAATTTTGGGCGAGTCGTTGGAACTGCTAGAATCCAACCAACGACCCACTCTCCATTTGATTCTCAGGCTGCTTGTGCCACCCTTGCATGTGTCATGTTTTGGTATTATTTGACGTGTGCTATGTTATGTCTGTGCTATGTTATGTCTATGCTATGATATATGTTATGTCATGATACAAGTTATTATATATTATAAGTTATACTATGATATGATTATGTATGTTATTGAACTATGTTGTATTATCAATGCTATGCTATGTAAACTTTGTTAATATATTAGCTTTATGCCTTTGAGACATTAGAAATCATGAAAGATATGATGACAAGTATTATGTATATACGACTCATAGGAATGCTATATCAAAAAAAAGGGAGGTATGACTTACATTATAAGTACATACCATGTTTTGATGCTATGAGACCTTCTGCAATTCGTATGTCACGTGCATCGGGATACTTCTCCCTTATGATTTGTACATACACATACACTACGATATCATGTACACTGTAATATTATACGCCCTCATTTTGCTCCCTGACTTTTGGCAGCATGAGTGTATGCTAGCATGATAGGTAGACTCACAAGGTACGTATACGAGCCACCTAATTCATCCATGTGTGCATCTGTAGGCCATGTGTAAAGAAGATCCATGTCACAGCCCAAAATTTGAATCTCGAAATCAAGGGCTGGACCAACAGACTATGCAATGAAATCGTGTAAAAGCATAGAGAAGACGAAATTATAAAAAAAAAAAAAAAAAACATTAGCAATTATGTAGAAGGTTTCAGATCCGAAACAAGGTGTCAAAGTATGAAAAGTATGTAAATGGTTTACAAAACAATGCATGACAGATCTAAACAAAAATATGCACAGACTCCTAGACGCCCTAGGACACTCCTCTGTGGCATTAAGATTCAGCATGCATTCCCGCCTCGATCCATGGTATCACTCACGTGAAAAAAAAAATAGTAGAAAGGAATGAGTATAAAAATATTCAGTAAGCAGCCTACTTGTAGGCTCTTTTCGCATCCTTATCTTGGTAGGTATCCACAGTCTTTCTCGGGTTTCTAAGGATAGTGATCTAAGCTGCAACTCTCTTTTCTGTATCTTAGGAGGCTTGCCCATCTTAAGCACTGAAATGATCAGTGTCTTAAGGTGAGGCGCGACCTCATAAGTAAATCTGAGGGGATCGTATGGCTGGATCTGAATACGTGACTCTCTCTGAACATCATCCGTGGAGGTTAGCTGACGACACTCACACGGGACCATACATCCACTAAATTTGGGGTGCGACCCCCTGTGTGCCGGTCAGCTACTAAGTCATCCTATGTGGCTCCACGTCCCCCGCTCAGGGACGGGTTTCTACGGCCTAGGAGTCTTGTTCAGAAGACCCCTTAGCTATCACCACTAGGTTTGGGCACCTGTCACACTTCCCTATCCGGATTTTTCAAGCTCAACGATCTTTGAACCAGAGCTCTGTCTCGACGGTACGGTATCGAAGGAGAGAGGGAAGTGGAGGTTTTGATGATACTATCTACACTGCTTAACTCTAGCGGGCTACCTACAGTTACCGTGGTGACCTATTATTCTTTCTAGGGTGGAACTTGGTGGCTTAGACTTAGATTCATGTATCTCAAGGATTCTCGTGCCTGGTCTCACAAACCTATCGGGTTTGGAATTTCTGGGCTCTGAATCCGCCGGTAATCATTTCGTGGGTCTAATTGCACGGTATTCTAGAGGTCCCTCAATCTAGGGTCTCGTCTAGCCTACTTAGTCACAAGCATCGTAATCGAATCTCATAATTTCTTCCTATTCATCAAAAAAGATAACACAAGCAATCATCATGCATAAGAGTTTACACGCAGCAGTTCATGTAATATTAACAAACATGCTCAACGGGAAGATAACGTCCATCTTTACCCGTAGCGCAGATTTCACAAGTTTCACATCCTTCTCATGCATACATACTTTATCAGAATCTCAATCAAACAGATTTAATAAACATTTCATATCTAGCTTTCCTTAATCACTTCATTTTCGCAGTTTCCATACTAATATACTAGGTCCGACTAGTTAAGTTAATGGGTGGTAGCATGCATGCTTGTTCCTAGCAGTTCCTACAAGTACTGCTCGTGGGAATCAAAATGGCTACTTACTTGGTTGACGTGTGCCTTCCCAAGTTCGAGTTTTCTTGATGGAATGGATTCCAACAATTCTGGAATTTCCTTGACAGGTCCTAATTCACATAATAATAGGGTCAACATCAAAATCGGGTCAGAAAACAAGCAAACAGAGACCGAACAGTAAGAAAAATATTGTCTCACGCGCCTCCACACGCGTCATGTCACGGTCATGCTTGTCCAGGGCGTGTTGCCCATGGCCGCATGCCCATGACAAGCCAAACCCTTGTCATGTCTTTTCATTCTAGTGTTTTTCCTTTTGTAGTTCTAGGGCGTATGACGCCTAAAAAATATCATGTCTAGGCCTGCCAGACATGAAATACCTCAGAATGTATTATAGGGGGATATGACTAGTTGTCAACTTCTCCCTACCCAAGGTTATATATGCTAAGCCGTTGTTATCTCTCTCTTGCTTGCTTATATAACGTCTCTTTCTAAAATCTCTCTTTCTAAAATCTCTCTCTCTCCTTGTTTTCTAAAACCTTCTTTTAAAACTGAGGCTAGAGGCTCGATCATACGTCGCTTGGCCGTAGGCGACGCAAGAACAAATTGGCTTAGCTCACTTGTCGTTGGAAAGTGAGTGCCGCACAATTGCTAGTCCGTTGCCTTCAAAAGTGTGATTGTGTCAAGTGGTATCAGAGCTTTGTTAGCTCCGTAACATAGAAAAGACCGAAACTATGTCGACAACAAAGTCGACACCCAAAGCACAAGCCGACCGGTTTACGCTAATAGAGGAGGAAATGCTGTTCCTTAAGGAAGTCCCTGACACCCTCCACTTCCTGGAAGCACGGATGACCGAATTGAGTGGGAAAGTCGTAGAATTCGACGCAATGGGCAACCGCCTGGATGGGTCGCCAATCGCAGAACTGATGTTTCGAGTGACCTCGCTCGAAGAAAGAGTTGCTCCTATGAGCAGCCCAAAACCGTCTGGTAGTCTGGATAGCTCTGTTGCGCACAAAGAGGGATGTGGCAAAGAGTTCGACGTGCTACAAAATACAATGATGAGCTTGTTCAATGGATTAGCCGATGAATTCAGAACAACAATCGACGACATCCAAGAAAGGATGGCCGACATGAGCACTCGAATTGAAGTGACCATGAAAGCCATGGAGAACGTCACGGCTGGGCAAACTAATGCAGGATCCAACAAACTAAGATTCCCAAACCCTAGAGCCTTCAAAGGGAATCGGGATGCCAAGGAGTTGGAAAACTTCATCTTTGATGTCGAACAGTACTTCAAAGCCTCAACGGCTTGTACCGATGACAAGAAGGTGACCGTAGCCTCGATGTACCTCATAGACAACGTCAAACTGTGGTGGTGTACGAAGGTACAAGACATCGAGGATGGATTGTGCACCATCGACTCGTGGGAGGACCTCAAGAAAGAGTTGAGGGAACAATTCCTCCCAAAAATGCAGGACATATAGCAATGGAGAAAATAGTAGCCCTAAAACATACTAGAGACATACAAGACTATGTCAGACAGTTCTCAACCCTAATGCTGGATATCAAGGGCACATCAGAGAAGGACAAGGTGTTCTTGTTTATAAATGGGTTACAGCCGTGGGCCAAGACAAAGCTACATGAGAACAAGGTCCAAACCCTAGTTGCCGCAATGGCTTGCGCCGAGAGACTTCTAGACTATGGGAACGAAGTGGGATCCCAAAGAAGAACGACACCGGCCCAAACACTGGGGGAAAAACATACAAGCCACTAGGTCATCAAAATGGAAGCCCCAACAGACCGAATGGAGGTAACAACAGACTAAACGGATGGACGGTAGACCTCCTCAGAACAACCAAGGGGGGACATCTCGAGGACCCTACCATCAAAGGAACCACCCGACAATGCCTTTACAAAGCATACTGTGTAAAGGTCCCCACAAAGTATCCTACTGTCCTCATCGAGCCTCTCTCACTGCACTCCAAGTGTCCATTCAAGAGAGCAATGACGCAAGGGTCGAGACTATGTTAGACAAGAAGGAAGATTAAGACAATCCCCGAATGGGCGCGCTTAAATTCTTGTCAGCCCTCCAACGGAAGGTCGAACCGAAGGAGATCATAGAGAAAGGGCTCATGTTCGTAGATGCGACGATAAATTCTTGACCGAGCAAGAGCACTTTGATAGACTTAGGAGCGACACACAACTTCATCGCCGATCAAGAAGCCCGAAGATTGGGACTCACCATAGGAAAGGACCCAGGGAAAATGAAAGCTGTCAACTCTGAGGCCTTGCCTATTGTGGGAGTTTCCAAAAGAGTCCCCTTCAAAATAGGGGATTGGACAAGGGAGCTAGACCTTGTCGTGGTTCGCATGGACGACTTTGATGTGGTACTTGGGATGG